AAAATCAGTAATATTAAACACAGCACTCCATGTGGACACGCAGTACAAGGTACCATGGCCAACCCCTTCCACCTAAATCATCACACAAAACAATACAAAACAAAATATAACAGACGGACCTAGACGAATTCCAGACAGAACAAAACTGAGTAGAGCGGAGCAGAAGTGCAGTCAGTTACTTGAGGTTCATTATGCGTCAATTAAGATCGTTAGAAACCCCTGGATGTGCAATCAATCCTGCAAGAAAACAGTGCAATGATGCAATACACATGGTCGCTCACCACGCAGGATTACAGCTACTTGCAGGCCCATATCTGAAAACTGGCTAACAGCCAGCACATGACAGACAGGAGGATAACCCAACTGCTAGCACTCAAAGCACCACATGTCACAAAGGGGCGGTACCAAGGATGATGCATCCCAAGCAACCAAACACTCCCCCTTTTATAAGCACACAGGCACTAATTGGCTCATGAAACTTACCCAACCATGATAAAGTATGAACACTGATAGGTTCACCTGTTTGGGTAACGCCAGCCAATCATACTGGGTCTATACCTCACTCTGCTACATTCACATGCATGAATGCTTCTGTAAAATAAGGATGTCTGCTTGTTTTGTATTTGCCACTATTGTCCAACATGGCTGACACAGGCGTTGCTATTTTCGTTCTAAGATCCTTACAGTTTTGGCCAAGGGTTGCAGTTTACATGAATGTGTATTTTGTCACAGCTCTAAAGTTCCTCCGTCCTTCTGCTGCCCTTGAATCAGACTTCCAGAAGCAGAAGAAAGAGAAACAGTCAGAGCTCAGTGGTATGAAACTGATGTCTATTTCCTGCCTGTCGTGCAGCACGTTTATGTGCTAATGGAAAAGTGAATCCCAGTCAAAATGTTCAGTAATGCGTTCTTTTGAATGGAACAGCATGTGGCCACACACAGTCGCTTTTGCATTATGATAGTGTTTTGAGCACTCTTTGCTGTGGTGTGTCTTTATTTTGTTGACAAGCATTTAAGCTTCTCGCCCGTGCATCAAAAATCCTTCGGATATTCTGTCTAAGCATTCTTTTTTTTTTTTTACATTTTCAGAACTGTTGCTCCTACTTTTATTACCAGACAAACTTAAGCAAAATAGCAGTTCATCTTTTATGTTTTAAAAAATGTCTTTGCATAAGTAAAAGTGAAGCACATGTTGCTAATCTGATTTTGTTTTATTTTTGTTTTACTTATATTCTATCACTTGAAAATCAATGGCTATTGATGCATTTTTCTCCTTCGACTTTACCTGCACCACAGCTTGTTCTAGTCACACATGGTGAATATTTATTTTAAATGGTTGACTCTAGAGTGTTATCCGTTTCCCACATTGTACTTGCAATGAACAAAGGTGAAGAGGGCAGGAGTGGATGATGGTTGTAGAGAAGAGTTTAGCTTATCTCAGATGATATTCATCTGTTTGTGTACTTGGTTTAGTGAAAGTAGCTGGTTTAAAAACATTAGTTGTGTCCTCTTGCTTTGATTTTTCAGAAAAGTCTAGACTATTGGCATTTTAATTCAAATGTTTCTAGAGGTGATTTTTTAAACCTGTTTTTAGTTTAGTCAGGAGCCATTCACTCTGCTCCCACACATTTGTCTGTATGTTATTCTGTAGACCAGTGTTTTCCAACCGGGGTGCCGTCTGTCGAGAGCAGGGGTGCCATGTAAAAAATCCTTTTTTAATATTTTTAAATGGCTAAAATGTTCAAAAAAGCAGCCATTATATAATATCAATTTCTGATGTCGCCAATAATTAGAGATGCACTGAAATTCTGGCTGCCGAAAATTAGTTCACCGCTCAGGATTCACTTTCACGTGGTGTGACGCTCTGCGTATTATCCCTCTATGCTCTATGCGTGTGTGTGCTCCGCTCAGTCGCTCATATACCGTTCATGCTCATCGGAACAGCAAAGTCCACTCAAAAATCGAGCTGACAGGAAACATCTATGTAATACAATATTGTTTCTGTTTGCAATAGCCCTACTGTGCTGTAATAAGGTGTGGTAAATGGGCAACTTTGGTAACGCTGCCCTCTCATTTATTGATCTGCTAACCGTTATGCTCACGTGTCCTCTGATAATAATAGCTTTCTAGGATTAAACATTATTTGGATAATTGGTAAAAAAAAAATAATAATCTCCTAATAAAAAAAAAAAATCTCTAACTGTGTGTTAGACCTACCTGAAAAACTAAAAAGCAATTTATTTCATTTGTAGGCCTATCGTTATTTTTTATTTGTGCTATCATTAGTAATTTCTTTATTTGTTCTTATTTTATTATTAACTGCTTTGCCTCCTTGTCATTTTTTATTCAATTCAAAATTTTAAATCAAGCTATCTCGTGCTACTGCAACAAAATTACCTAACTGTAAAATCAAAAATACAATGAGCAAAACTTTGTTTAATTACCATTATAACTAGCTAGCTCACAATGTTTACATATGAATAAAAGCCTACATTAAAATCTGTCATATAAATTGGTCTTTTCATCAGAAATTAGCCTACTGATTGCCACCATTGATGGACAATTTTTTTTTTATAATATTAAAAATATCTGTATGACAGTATATTCTGTAGTTCTTCCCTGCTGTACTGAATATCTATACTTTTCAAAGTATCATATCGAAGTTAGAAATTCAAATATTGTGACAAAATTAATTTTGTAGGGTGCCACAAATTTGTTAAACTTTCCAAAGGGTGCCACGACTAAAGAAAGGTTGGGAAACACTGCTGTAGACTGTTCTTTACCATTGCAGGCTGGTCTTTCATAATTTTTAATTTTAGTTTGATTTGTATCTCTAAATGTAACACTTTTCATGCAGTTTTTAGCTGTATGAAATCATCCAAAAATATATTCTTTATAAGTCTTAATTCTGCCATACTGTTTATGGATGGAAACTGATTCAGGCATTGTTTTTGTATCTTGAATATTTTCAACACATGTCACCAGTCTTGATGTTGATATTTTTTATGTTTATTTTTGAAACATACAAACTGGATTTCTTTAAATGGCTATGTGAACCTGAGAAGTGTTTCTCACAATTTGTACAGTGTCCCAACTTTTTTAGAATCGGGTTTGTAGTTTTATAGTGTATTTATAGTGAACTTTCCTGACTTGGGTTTAATATTTAGAAAGTAATATTATAAAGCTAAGATGTTTTGCCTGTACACATTCTGTGTTATTACAGAATAGTGTACAAATTGACCTTGTATACTCAACAAGTGCCTGCCTCAACAGCTCACCCAATTCAGTTTACGGAAGTACTGCTAAACCAAGCATGTGATGAAGGTGGCACTGTTATTCTGCGCTGTGAACTCTCAAAACCTGGAGTTCCTGTGATTTGGAGGAAAGGAACACAGGTGATCCATTCTGGTGGAAAGTACATCATCAGACAAATTGGGACTACGGTTGAGTTGAAGATCATTGATGTTAAACCTGAAGATACTGGAGACTATGCTTGTGATTGTGGAGACAACATCACCACTGCTAACATCAAAGTCAATGGTAGGACTGAGCTTTTATTTGAACCCTCAAAAACTTAATGACAAATTAATCTCACAAGATTTTCCTGGTTCAACAACTTTGCCTGATTCCTCAGCATTACCAGTTGTCTTCAGGCAAGAGCTGCAGAACCAACAGGTTCAAGAGGGGGAAAGAATTACTTTGCACTGTGAAGTCTCAAAACCTGGAGTTCCTGTGGTTTGGAGAAAAGGAACAGAGGTGATCAGTTCTGGAGGAAAGTACATCATCAAAAAAGTTTGCTCTACTGTTGAGCTGACGATCACTGATGTCAAACCTGAAGATGCTGGAGACTATGTTTGTGATTGCGGAGACAACATCAGCACCGCTAGTATCAAAGTCAATGGTAGGACTCACCTTTTATTTTAACCCTCTACAACAATGAAGTTTAATAATGTCTTCATTTAAGTTAGGGTGTAGTGCGGTGTATGGGCTAGTCTAGTGTAATACGCTGTTTGTCTAGTTTATAGTTTTTCCATTTGCATCATGGTGGTTGTTTTCACTTAAAATCTCACAAGGTGGTAAAATTATAAGTTAAGCCATTTCAGAAGAATGTTTTACATCTATCAGTGGAAGATTCTTTTAGGCAAAGTAGAAATCTCACAAGATCCCGTTTCTGGTTCAACATATTTTCCTAATTCCTCAGCATTACCGGTGGTCTTCAAGCGTGAGCTACAGAACCAAGAGCTTCAAGAAGGGGAGAGTGTTACTTTGCGCTGTGAACTCTCAAAACCTGGAGTTCCTGTGGTTTGGAGAAAAGGAACAGAGGTCATCAGTTCTGGAGAAAAGTACATCATCAAGCAAGTTAGCTCTACTGTTGAGCTGAAGATCACTGATGTTAAACCTGAAGACGCTGGAGATTATGTTTGTGATTGTGTAGATAACATCTGCACTGCTAACATCAAAGTCAATGGTAGGACTCATCTTTTATTTGAACCGTCTTCAACAATGAAGAAGCTTCATTAATAATGTCTTCGTTTAGTGTAGGGTAGTGTATAGTGCTGTATATTGGCTATTCTAGTGTACCAAGTTATTTGTCTAGTTTATAGTTTTGCCATTTGTATCATGGTGGTTGTTTTGGTTAAACATCTTAGAAGGTGGTAAAAATATAAGTTAAGCCATTGTAGAAGAATGTTTTACATCTATCAGTAGAAAGAATGTTTTTGATGCAAACTTAATCTCACAAGATCCTGTTCCTGGTTCAACAACTTTGCCTGATTCCTCAGCATTGCCAGTGGTCTTCAAACATGAGCTACAGAACCAAGAAATTCAGGAAGGAGATAGTGTCACTTTGCGCTGTGAAGTCTCAAAACCCGAAGTTCCTGTGATTTGGAGGAAAGGAACACAGGTGATCCATCCTGGAGGAAAGTACCTCATCAAGCAAGTTGGCTCTAATGTTGAGCTGAAGATCACTGATGTCAAACCTGAAGATGCTGGAGATTATGTTTGTGGTTGCGGAGACAGCATGACAACTGCCAACGTCAAGGTTAACGGTAGGAGAAGACCATTATCTTCATGAATGTTTCCATCATTCTAATCCATCTTTGAAATGCATTGTCACATGCATTCCTTGGTTGTGAAGTGCAAATGATTCTCCAGTTTAATATGAAGTTAAGGCCAAAAAAAGACTTAATTGTAACCATTGTTTGCATTTGTATCATCTTGATCTTACTTATCTGAAAAATATTTATTTACGTCATCTTTATGTACGGAACTAAATCTCTGGCATCTCATACCACTCTTTGAATTGTCAGCTCTTCCAGCCACCTTCACACAAGAGCTAAAAAAACAGACAGCTATTGAAGGAGAAAGCATCATCTTCCAGTGTGAGCTCTCCAAACGTGGAGTTCCTGTTGTTTGGAGGAAAGGGATGCAGGTGATCCATTCTGGAGGAAAGTACCTCATCAGGCAAGTTGGCTCTACTGTTGAGCTGAAGATCACTGATGTCAAACCTGAAGATGCTGGAGACTATGCTTGTGATTGCGGAGACAGCATTACCACAGCCAATGTCAAGGTTAATGGTAGGAGAAGAACAATTACTTCTTGAATTTTTCCATTATTCTAATCCATCTTTGAACTGCATTGCCACATTTATCCTGTGTTTGTGAAGTATAAATTCTTCCAAAGCTTATTATGAAGATAAATCTAAAGGAATACATTTTATTGTATCCTGTTGGTGTACTATAATATTTGTTTGAACTGTTGCCTTTCGGGTCTTACTTGTCTGGAAAATCTTTAATCTCTTGCATCTTATACCACTCTTTGCATTGGCAGCACTTCCAGCCATTTTCACACAAGCACTAAAGAACCAGGCAGCTGTTGAGGGAGAGAGCATCAGCTTCCAGTGTGAGCTTTCCAAAGCAGACATTCCAGTTGAGTGGCGCAAGGGTGAAATTGGCCTATGCCCCAGTGCTAAATATGAATTAAAGCAAGCTGGCCACCGTGCCCAACTGGTCATACATGACCTTGAACATGAGGACTCTGGTGACTATATTTGTGACACTGGAGAACGCCAAAGCATTGCATATCTGAAAGTTAAGGGTAGGCTTGGATTGAACAGTCTTTCTTTCCTGTATCATTTGAAGCAGTTTCTTCATGATGACCTTGAAACACTTGTTTACTCACCTTTTGCAGCACTGCCAGTTCTTTTCAAATCATCTCTGAAAGATTTGGAAAGTGAAGCTGGAGAAAATGCAGTGTTTCGATGTGAACTTGACAAAGCTGGAGCCAAAGTCATCTGGAGGAAAGACAAGAGTGTAATAGAAGCAAGCCACAAATATCAGCTGAAGCAAGATGGGGCTGTTGATGAGCTTATCATTTACAAGCTGCAAGAAGGAGACGCTGGAGAGTACTGCTGTGAAACAGAACATGATCGGACATCTGCCAAACTCACTGTGAAGGGTATGAATCACCTTGTAAAAGTTCTCATCCCTCCTAACTTTACCTGATCATCCTCTTTTGATGATCACGCATCTACTCCATACAATCCTAAGTATTATGCCATCATCCTCTCTTATGGTATGCTTGAGATTGCTATAGATTCAAATACTTGATCCCAGATCACCTTCAGCACCTTCTCTGTGCACGTGGTTTTGCACTTTAAATTTCATTAAAACTTGCACAACCTTTCTCCAATGCACTCCCATTTCATTTTGCTAGATTATTTAAGTACAATAGTTTTTTGCACCTGACATAACATTATAAACCTTACCCTTGTAGTTTAACATTTATTTTTATACCAGGGTTGCTATTTCTGTCTTACAACTGCTGTGGATTTTCTTCAAAGGCTTAGCTTATAGTGGATGTTAAATTGATACTGTGGAAGTTTATCTATTTTTTGATCTGTTGACTACTTCAGACAAAATGAAACCTGCTTTTGCTTTCAGAACCTGAAATCACGATCTTAACTGGCTTGAAGAGCTGCATTGTCAATGAAGGCGAGGACGTTCATTTCGAATGCCTCGTCTCTCATGACAATGCACTCATTGTTCAGTGGACGCTACAAGATGTTCCACTACAGAACAATGAGATGAATGAAATCGGAATGGACGGCAAAAGGCACATGCTTACACTAAGAAGTGTCACCCAGAAAGACTCAGGCACAGTGTCCTTCCATGTGGGTGCACACACTTCTTTTGCTTGTCTTACAGTCAGAGGTAAAACTAAAGAATTTTTCTAAATAGTAGTTTGTTTTATTTCACACCTTCATTTAATTCTCAGTGAGTTTCGAACACATGCACTGTTTACTGCATGTGTTTAGTATTTGTGTGTGTATGATCATTCTGTATCCATAAATATTCAAAACATTCCATATTGATGCATGCTTTAATGCATCATATTCAAAACATTCCACATTGATGCATGCTTTAATGCATCATATTGCAAAAAAATGACATGTGACCAGCCTCTTTATATACACCACAATGAAAGCAAAACATTTCATGCATGTATGTTATCTGTTTTGTTTTCGCTTGCCAAATATTTATTGTCCATTGCTTGGTAGTATGCAGAGCTTTATTTGTTTGGATATTACATTTAGAAGGTTGACTATTCTATGTTCCTTTTTTCTCATCAGTGATTAATTTTATCTATAATAGAAGTCCTGCAAAAAGTTTCATGATTTCTGATTCAAGCATTCCAAGGTTAGGCTTATCTTGTCCCTGGATGCGTTTAGAAACTACTAAGACAATTTGTTGCCATCTCTTTGTTGCCATCTTCGAATATGCAGGTTTGGGGTTTGCACGTATCTTAGAATGTGTTCTGTGTATTGCTGTTTCCCAACAGCAGTCCCTGTGCTGTCATTTGTGAAGGAGTTAACAAGCCAGGAAGTCACAGAGGGAGGCAGTGCCTCATTATGTTGTGAAACTTCAATACCTGATGCCAGTGTGACCTGGAAGAAGGGTACTCAGGTCCTATCTGATGGAAAAAAGTATTCCATAAAGAGGGATGGCACAATCCAAACCTTGGAAATCCATAAGCTATCAGTGGATGATGGTGGCGAGTACATATGTGAAGCAGGAGACAAACAAAGCAAAGCTACATTGACTGTCAAAGGTAACAATCTTCATTCTTCTTTAGAGATGGGCTCCATTTTACATTGTTTCCCTGCAGAAGCAAAAGTACATATTAGTATTAGCATTTCAAATAATGAATACATCGAGTAGCTTTTATGTTTTAGATTGCCACTAAGGCATGATCCAAGTAGTATGTAAATCAAATATCTGTGAACTAAGATCGCATGATGCTCTCCTCAATTCTAGGATTTAACTTTAATGTCACAACAAAATCCCAAGCTTTCATTAAAAACTACACTGTTTGGAGGACTAATACATCCTCTCACATTCTAAGTCACTTCTAGTAGATAGTCAGTAGTGGGATATTTACCTCTCTTTACTTTTCGGAAGATCCTCAATCGTCCCTTTCATCACATTCCTTCCATCCATTCCCAGAATGTGTAAAAATCACAAGAGAATTAAAGGATGTGACTGTGATAACGGGCGAGGATGCTATCTTCCAGTGTGAGGTGTCTCATACAGGGGTTACGAATGTTGAGTGGTGGCTCGCCTCCAACCACCTTCAAAACAATGACTTGAATCAAATCAGCTGCCGAGGGAGGGAACACAGCCTAGTGCTGAAAATGGTCACACCCGATGACTCAGGTGATGTAGCCTTTGTGGTTGGCCCTGAGAAGAGCGTCGCCTACTTGTTGGTGCAGGAGAAACCCAAAGGTAAAAGACACATTATGGCTAACAGCATTCATTGTTGGCAAGCAATCATCTGTCTGTCATTAGGTAGTAGCTGCACTCATTTTGCGTAATTATAACAAAAGGCTTCCAGCTGCTTTTCCATTTGCTTTGGCTATTCTACAGCTACACTCCAAACGTGTTTTTTTTTGTTCGTTTTTTTGAGAAAGAGATGATTTTTCATACATTTTTGGTTATGACATAGTCTTTTGTCTATTTCCTGCCCATAACTGATAAAACAGAAGTTTCTCACTCAGTAAAGCTCTTTTAATGTACCACAGTATATGTTCAATTGCTTCAAGTGTCTAAGTTTCAGAGTCTTCAGGCAGACATTATGATGTGACAGCACTTGGGTTTGGGTTTCTCCTGTCCATAGTCGTATTCTTAGAGAAGCCTCTGGACTTAACTACCAAAGAGGGTCAAACAGTCACACTGTCCTGCATGACTTCCGACCCTGAGGCCTCTGTCACCTGGTACAAAGATGAAGCGATGATAAAGGCAGGGGGGCGGTATCTGCTCTACAAGGATAGAGCCGTCCATCAGCTCCGCATCCTTAGAGTGGAGGAAGGAGATGCCGGGTTGTATACATGCAAAACCAAAGATGCAGAAAGCTGTGCCACCCTTACTGTTAAAGGTAAACGGGTTTGTTGGCCTGTGACTTTTTTGTTTTCATTTTATCAACTTGACTGAAGATAAAGTGAACACAAATGGGTTTCAAGAAGACCCGTTCTGGTTTTCTTTTCTTTATAACTGCCTCTCTTGTGGAACAAAGAAGATTTTGATACCCTCATAGATATCAGCAGCTGTTTAAAATTGACATTTACATTCTTTTAACTTCTTTTCTTATCCATCATCAGGTCAACCTGCATATTTCCGGAAGGAGTTAGACAACCAGAATGCAATAGAGGGAGATAGTATCACCTTGCGCTGTGAGCTTTCTAAGCCGGTTAAAAGTGTAGAGTGGAGAAAGGGTGGAGTGGTGCTCCAACCCAGTAAGAAATTTGAGATGAAAAAGGAAGGGTGTGTGCTGGAGCTCAATGTCCATGATCTGGAACCAGAGGACAATGGCTACTACACTTGTGATGCTGGAGACCAGTTGACCACAGCATCAGTCACTGTGCAAGGTATCAAATAGCATTGTTAAATCATTTGCAATCTATATTTTAGTTATAAAAATTTCTGTTGTAGAGCAAACAGATTTTTCTGGGGCTGGAGGTTATTTCAAATCTGTAGCTTTTTGTCATTACGTCCTCATAAGATTCACATTATGTTTTTGAAGCATCCTCTATGTATGAGTGTTTTTAGACACTGGTTATCTAAGGGTTTCTGTGTCTGGTCTCTGCAGAGGCTGAGGTTCTCATAGTGTCGGGTATAAAGAATACAGATGTGTTTGTGGGCGAACAGGCAATTTTCTCCTGCCAGCTCTCTCGCCATGCCAAAGGCAGAGTTCAGTGGTGGCTAGACGGCACTCGTTTGGAGAACAGTACCTTCAGTGAAATAAGTGTGGGTGAAGTCCATGTCCACACTCTAACCCTAAGGAACCTTTCTCCCAATGATTCGGGTACAGTCCTTTTCAAAACAGGTGGCCTGACGTCCTCCGCCAAGCTGTTAGTGAAAGGTACCAAATGCAGTGGTGCTTGGCAGTACTTGGCAGCACAGAAATGTAGAAGCTTAAAATTTTGAATAGCACTGGACTAATACTGTGTCCATGAATTTCCTAAATCTAAAAGTTGGTTACTCATTCTGTGAAGCATTTAGGTTGCCTTGACCTCTTTTTAACAGCTACAGTTAGACCATAAATCTTGAATTGTGTCTTAATCTGTCCTTGAAGTAGTTTAGTACTGTTTGTGTTCTTCAGACTTGTATACTCATATTACTGAATTACTTATCCATATTAATAATACTCTAAATTTAAAGTGTCTTTGCACAGACTACCCTGGAGAGTCCTTTGGTTAAGTGCTCAAAAATGCAATCCTGACAGAACAGGATTTTATTTACTTTATTCTCTTTTAGGGTTACCCATGCCTAGAATTGAATCTTTTTGTTAGACCCTTTACTGTTAGGCAAAAGTATACAGTAAGATGGGTTGAAAAAAAAAACATTTTAATGAAAATTCATGGATGCATGTAGTCCATGTGCCATGTATTTCTAACCTAAAATTGGATTTGGTTGCAGTATCACGGCTTGCTAATTACTTACAAAATTGGCATACTAATTATTAAATTAGCACACTGATTTTAAGCTTGTATATGGAGCAGGGCTCAATACAAAGATTTTTACTACTGGCACAGTCAGGCCAGGGGTTCAGATTTTTACATGCCCAGAATTGTTTTACTGGCCCTTCCCTAAACCCAAAGAATTCACAATGTTTTATTATAATAATGTTCTCATTAGAATGTTATATACACGACATTCCCAATCATAGTTATTAATGTTGTGCACTGCTGTTTGAGCTGCGTGTGCTGAGCTAAAGATGATCACTGGTAAACTGAAGCGCTCTTTTAACTTAACCCAACGCATTCTATATGAGATAAATCAGATATACATCAAATAAACACAATATTACAATGTACAATTGCACAAAAGGCTGCAAACGAACAGCGCGCATCTGAAGTGTCTCTGAAGGAAATAATGCATTATTTATCGGCTTTAAGATATCGGCCAAATTTTCTTATCAGGCCGATACCGATAACAGAAAAAATTAGCCGATATGGGCCGATACCGATATGGTGGCCGATATATCGTGCATCCCTAATAAAAAAAGCATGATATTCATATTAATTAATCTCAATTAATCATGTTAAAAATAGTCCTAAAAAAGTCCTAAATTAATCATTCAGATTATTTAAATTCAAAAACAAGATTTTATCACAAAAAAGTGTCTGTAGAAGTCAATATATTGTTTGTCTGTTTTTTGCATATTATTTGACATACAGCCTATCACTTCTCCAGCTATCCATTTTACATTTTATTAATTTCAGTTTGTTAATCTGCTTGAGGTAAAATTAATATATAAAACTGAAAGCCCTAGTGGATTCACCAAAGCATCTAAGTGAAATTGTGCAAGCAACCTTTTGCCCAAAAATTCAAAGAGCAAACAATAATGGTTTTGGATGCACTCTAAATCAGATAATTGTACACTCATCAGTCTTCATTGTTTGTTTGTGTTGCATGTACTTTTTCTATTAATTGGCCTTAGTTTGACTTGACACTGCAACTAGGCATGTGTTGGTTGTAATTGACCATGTCCTTGGTCAGTTTGGAGTAGAGAAGCAAAAAAAGATGTTACACTTACCATGTACATTTCAATGTGAAAGAAAAAGAAACAGCTACAGCACTGACTTAGATTATGAGTTTGTAAAGGCTGTTGTTTTAAACTGAATAAAGTACCAGGCTTACTGTATATTTTAGTTTTGCATTAAATACCACCCAAAACCTGAAAGAGGCTTGAGGTGAAGAACTCTACTTCAAAGTGCACTGGGGTCTTGTGAATATTACTTATCCCCACCACCAACCCTCTATAGATCCCAATGTGGAGGTGGTCAGTGCCATGGAGGACCAACATGTAGCAGAAAACCAGCCTGCAGAGTTCATCTGTCAGTACTCCCGGCCAGTCAAGGCCGTATGGAAGCAAAACAGCATACCTGTGCAAGCAGACGGTCGCAGGGTGATAGTGGAACAGGACTGGACTGTTGCGCGGTTGTACATTAGCTGTGTGGAGCCCCAGGATGGGGGGATGTACTCCTGTGAGGCAGAAGGAACCTCTGTTGTGGCACATCTCAGGGTGCAAGGTGAGCACACCTGTAGGCGAAGAGAATCTGTGTGTCATCCATAACTCAAAGCTGGATCATCACAAAGACTCATTTTAAGATTCGCAAAGACTTTGAGAAATATTAAGTTGTAAGTTGCACAAGTAAGGGCTTACCACAAAGAGTTTTACTGGAATACTGGGATTTTTTGTACTTTTTCTTTACTCCAAAAATTGCTGTTTTTAGCAACATCATCATCATCTGGCTGGCTATGCAGTAACCATCATGCTTCTTACGCTACTCAATGCTGGATGCTACTGTATATGCTAGTGAAATGTTGGAAGAAATTTTAATTGAGTGTGATTGTGCAGGATTCAGTAACTGTTAGTTCAGAAGTTATTTTTAATTCAAGGCCAGTCAAAGTCATTGAGTACTACAGGGACTTGTTTTGGCGTGTATAAAGCCAGTGTTTTTTCAGGCATTGTCTCTCTCTTACAGCTAAACCAATTGACATTCTTCAAGAGCTGAGTAATGTGGAGACCATTAATGGCGGGGAAGCACTTTTTGAATGCTCCTTGTCTTGTCCTGTAAACAAAGACTGCCAGTGGTTAATCGATGGCAAGCCTGTAAAGGAGTCCGCAAACGTGGAGATTGTTTCCTTTGAGAGTGGCAGACGCCATCTTCTGCTTTTAAAGAACTTGCATCCTTGTGAAAACACAAGGGTTACATTCCAAGCTGGCACTTCATCAACTACTGCTCTTCTGTCTGTCAAAGGTACGTCATTTCTGTAGTATTAGCATTAAATTTAGATAGATGTATGGTATTACATCAGATGATGTAAGGTATTACATCATATTTTATTAAAGAAAAATAAAATGACTATTCTTTATTTTTGAAAGCCGATAACCGATATGTTGGCCGATAAATCTATATCCAAATTGTTATATACTTTTTGAGAGCCTGATTACAAAAAAGGTCTCATCATTAAAAGCCACATCCCAAACACTTCAACATAAGCAGCCTAGTTTGAACGGTGTACGTTTTAAAAATATTTTTACTCTCCCATTACCAAATTTAGTCATAAAAAAGTCTTACAAATAAATAAAATAATGCATAAATAATGCAAACAAGTCACTGGACATCATTACACTTGTAAAGAATCAAAATGAATGCGCCATAGATCAATAAAACGGAATAGCCTCTGCACGGACAATAATTAAATGATTTTAATTACTAAACCATATTGTTGATGAAAATAATAAGAGAACAATACAAGTGGTTGTTGTTATTAATAATGTATCAATGATTTTGAAAAAGTAACAAATTAATACCACTGTTTTAAATAGCAGCCGTTGAGCTGCGCGTGCTGAAGCTGAAGAGCTGAATGAACATGGTAAACTGAAGCGTTTTGCTGGCAGCTTATTTAACTCAAGGAAATGCATCCTGAGATTAATATTAATACAACATAAACATAATATTACAACTTATATATGTACAAAATGACGCAGTTATTGCATGCTATAGTCAGAATGTGTGATCCTGTTGTGGATGCGCTCTTCCCATAACAACGCGCTGAAACACGGCAACTAAACCCAAAGAATTCCCAACGTTTTATTATAATAATGTTCTCATTAGAATGTTATATACACGACATTCCCAATCATAGTTATTAATGTTGTGCACTGCTGTTTGGGCTGCGTGTGCTGAGCTAAAGATGATCACTGGTAAACTGAAGCGCTCTTTTAACTTAACCAATCGCATTCTATATGAGATAAATCAGATATACATCAAATAAACACAATATTACAATGTACAATTGCACAAAAGGCTGCAAACGAACAGCGCGCATCTGAAGTGTCTCTGAAGGAAATAATGCATTATTTATCGGCTTTAAGATATCGGCCAAATTTTCTTATCAGGCCGATACCGATAACAGAAAAAATTAGCCGATATGGGCCGATACCGATATGGTGGCCGATATATCGTGCATCCCTAATAAAAAAAGCATGATATTCATATTAATTAATCTCAATTAATCATGTTAAAAATAGTCCTAAAAAAGTCCTAAATTAATCATTCAGATTATTTAAATTCAAAAACAAGATTTTATCACAAAAAAGTGTCTGTAGAAGTCAATATATTGTTTGTCTGTTTTTTGCATATTATTTGACATACAGCCTATCACTTCTCCAGCTATCCATTTTACATTTTATTAATTTCAGTTTGTTAATCTGCTTGAGGTAAAATTAATATATAAAACTGAAAGCCCTAGTGGATTCACCAAAGCATCTAAGTGAAATTGTGCAAGCAACCTTTTGCCCAAAAATTCAAAGAGCAAACAATAATGGTTTTGGATGCACTCTAAATCAGATAATTGTACACTCATCAGTCTTCATTGTTTGTTTGTGTTGCATGTACTTTTTCTATTAATTGGCCTTAGTTTGACTTGACACTGCAACTAGGCATGTGTTGGTTGTAATTGACCATGTCCTTGGTCAGTTTGGAGTAGAGAAGCAAAAAAAGATGTTACACTTACCATGTACATTTCAATGTGAAAGAAAAAGAAACAGCTACAGCACTGACTTAGATTATGAGTTTGTAAAGGCTGTTGTTTTAAACTGAATAAAGTACCAGGCTTACTGTATATTTTAGTTTTGCATTAAATACCACCCAAAACCTGAAAGAGGCTTGAGGTGAAGAACTCTACTTCAAAGTGCACTGGGGTCTTGTGAATATTACTTATCCCCACCACCAACCCTCTATAGATCCCAATGTGGAGGTGGTCAGTGCCATGGAGGACCAACATGTAGCAGAAAACCAGCCTGCAGAGTTCATCTGTCAGTACTCCCGGCCAGTCAAGGCCGTATGGAAGCAAAACAGCATACCTGTGCAAGCAGACGGTCGCAGGGTGATAGTGGAACAGGACTGGACTGTTGCGCGGTTGTACATTAGCTGTGTGGAGCCCCAGGATGGGGGGATGTACTCCTGTGAGGCAGAAGGAACCTCTGTTGTGGCACATCTCAGGGTGCAAGGTGAGCACACCTGTAGGCGAAGAGAATCTGTGTGTCATCCATAACTCAAAGCTGGATCATCACAAAGACTCATTTTAAGATTCGCAAAGACTTTGAGAAATATTAAGTTGTAAGTTGCACAAGTAAGGGCTTACCACAAAGAGTTTTACTGGAATACTGGGATTTTTTGTACTTTTTCTTTACTCCAAAAATTGCTGTTTTTAGCAACATCATCATCATCTGGCTGGCTATGCAGTAACCATCATGCTTCTTACGCTACTCAATGCTGGATGCTACTGTATATGCTAGTGAAATGTTGGAAGAAATTTTAATTGAGTGTGATTGTGCAGGATTCAGTAACTGTTAGTTCAGAAGTTATTTTTAATTCAAGGCCAGTCAAAGTCATTGAGTACTACAGGGACTTGTTTTGGCGTGTATAAAGCCAGTGTTTTTTCAGGCATTGTCTCTCTCTTACAGCTAAACCAATTGACATTCTTCAAGAGCTGAGTAATGTGGAGACCATTAATGGCGGGGAAGCACTTTTTGAATGCTCCTTGTCTTGTCCTGTAAACAAAGACTGCCAGTGGTTAATCGATGGCAAGCCTGTAAAGGAGTCCGCAAACGTGGAGATTGTTTCCTTTGAGAGTGGCAGACGCCATCTTCTGCTTTTAAAGAACTTGCATCCTTGTGAAAACACAAGGGTTACATTCCAAGCTGGCACTTCATCAACTACTGCTCTTCTGTCTGTCAAAGGTACGTCATTTCTGTAGTATTAGCATTAAATTTAGATAGATGTATGGTATTACATCAGATGATGTAAGGTATTACATCATATTTTATTAAAGAAAAATAAAATGACTGACTGCTCTAGTTTTATAGGTCATGTCTATATTTTGAATAATGATGCAGTTAATTTTCTATCTTATATATAGTATAGCTTTATTTATTTACTATTATGCTGTAGTTTCATGCTCCCGTTTTATAATATATTAAATATGATGCTAAATGCATAAATGTAAATGTATTTAAATGTTATGGATTTGTTCTGTACAGCTTGGCAACTGGAGGTGGTCAAGCCTTTGGAAGATAAGACCGCCATTGCAGGAGAACAAGTTGAGTTCACTTGTGTTTTGAATGAAGCTGTGCCTGAGAGTGAAGTGACTTGGTATGCAAATGGTGTTGAGCTAAAATGTAATGATCAATGGGCCATGAGAGCCAGTGGCTCTTCCTACAGCCTAATTTTGAAAAAAGCCCAGGCTCAGCCCACACAGGAAATCACATTTGCAGCCCGGGATGCCTTATCAATTGCCAAACTCATCACAATATGTAAGGGTCTTCATTTGTGCCTCATTCATTATAATTTCTGCTATTATGCTTATAACATTTTTTTTTCATTTTATCTGGTTATTTATAGCTGTGCCTGATCCCCCTGAAGACCCAGAGCTGGTTATTAAAGGTCCAACGTTCGTCACCTTATCTTGGTTCACGCCCCTAAGTGATGGAGGAAGCCCAATCATTGGTTACCGTGTGGAAATGCGTCTAGTGGACAGTGTCCTCTGGCTGCCCTGCCACTCAGAACCAGTATGCAACACTGAATTTCTGGTTGAAAACCTCATACCGGGGGAAGGTTACAGGTTCAGAGTGGCAGCCATCAACCGTGCTGGTATTGGAGAGCCTGTCCAGCTGCCTCAAACTGTGACACTTGGTAAGTGGATACTTGCTGAAATAACCAATTTGTTGAAAGCAACCTTATAGAGTACATTGTTTTTTCATCTAACCAAACTGCCTCCATAAGTCCATATAGAAGGCTTGCTATTCTGCGGTAGTTTGGGGTTCCTCACTCCTGGTCCTGGAGAGCTACTTTCTTGCAGAGTTTAGTTTCAACTGTGCTCCAACACACCTGGCTATAGCTTTAAAATAAACCCAAAAACTTTAATTACAACTGGAACTAAACTCAGAAGGAAAGTGGCTCTCTAGGACCAGAAGTGAAGAACTTTACCCTAGATGCTACAGTAGTAGTAGAACACTATACTCTAAACAAGTGTATTTTGTATTTGTTGTGTTTTGTATTTGTTCTTGTTGAATTCTTGCTACATTTCTTCAACTGTTGAATGAACCTTGGATCTTCAGATGCACAAGTGACCATGACCAAAATGTTAAGCAGCTCTAAGATCCAAAAAGGAAAGATGGTTCGTTTGGAGTGTGAACTTTCTACAGAGAGCAAGTCAGTCACATGGCTAAAGGACAACAGAGAGATAGATGTTGGGGTCAAGTACCAAATGGTAACAGAAGGAAAGAGCCAAGTTTTGCTCATAAAGGATTTCCAGTCTACAGATCAGGGTGTCTATTATTGTGTAGCCTCAGAAGAGGCAAAGACTTCAATCAACCTTAACCTCGAAGGTACTTTACTTTGCTTAACCTCACATCTAACTTACTATTGTTGTTTTTTGTCAACCTCATATGTGACCCTGCACCACAAAACCAGTCTTAAGTCGCTGGGGTATATTTGTAGCAATAGCCAAAAATACATTGTATGGGTCAAAATTATTAGAACATTAAGTAAAGATCATGTTCCATAAAGATATTTTGTAAATTTCCTACTGTAAATATATGAAAACTTAATTTTTGATTAGTAATATGCATTGGTAAGAACTTCATTTGGACAACTTTAAAGGCGATTTTCTCAATATTTCGATTTTTTTGCACCCTCAGATTCCAGATTTTCAAATAGTTGTATCTCAGCCAAATATTGTCCTAAGTACAATGTACAAACTGTATATTGTGTGTATATATATATACACACAGTGGGTACGGAAAGTATTCAGACACCCTTAAATCTTATATATAGACAGGTGTGTGGCTTTCCTAATCAAGTCCAATCAGTATAATCAAACACAGCTGGACTCAAATGAAGGTGTAGAACTATCTCAAGGATGATCAGAAGAAATGGACAGCACCTGAGTTAAATATATGAGTGTCACAGCAATACTTAGGACCATGTGATATTTCAGTTTTTCTTTTTTAATAAATCTGCAAAAACAATTCTGTGTTTTTCTGTCAATATGGAGTGCTGTGTGTACATTAATGAGGAAAAAAATTAACTTAAATGATTTTTGCAAATGGCTGCAATATAACAAAGAGTGAAAAATTTAAGGGGGTCTGAATACTTTCCGTACCCACTGTATATATATATATATATATATATACACACACATAACTACATATATATTGACAATACAATATATTGTCCTATGTACAAACCACATACATCAATGGAAAGCTTATTTATTCAGCTTTGAGATGGTGTATAAATCTCAATTTAAAAAATTGACCCTTATGACTGGTTTTGTGGTCCAGGGTCACATATGTGGAAATAATCATTTGTGTGTGTCTTGGTCATAGTGTTTGGAACTTTGCCATTTCATGATTTTCTTCATTATGAGATCAAGTCTCCAAATATATTTTCCTGTCTCATTCCAACTTCAATAAGACTGCAATGTCAAAATAGTGTTTTCTGCAACAAGTACTAAATATTTGTAAATGTTACTACAACCGTTACATTACATTTCAGTGTCTTTTCATGTTTTTAGCTCCTCTATTTTTCACTTTTTTTTTTTTTTTTACTTCCGTTTGTTTCAGTGATAAACTTTATTTGAATTTGTGTATTATTCACAAATTACCTGAGTTTAATTGCAGTCAAATTGCTGTTGCAAAGATAGATTGTTGATATATTTAATATAATTTTTCCAACATAAAAATGTTATCATATGCATGAGTAAGACTGATTTATGATGGCTTCCTGATTACAGGAGATGACACAACACTTTCTCAGGATGTGGGCAGCCAGCCCAAACTGCCGTCTGAGGCTGCTTCTGAGGGAGATTTACATGCTCTATGGGATGCAGTGGCCAAGAAGAGGAGAATGAGTCGGGAACCCACATTAGATTCAATTTCAGAGTTGCCAGAAGAAGATGGAAAAGAAAAAGCCCAGAGCAAAGAAGGAAAATTACCTGAAAGGGAAGTGAGACCTGTTGAACCAACTCCCAAGATCACAGGGGAGCCTAATCTCTATACAAGTTCTGATGAGGAATCTCTCAGTGGGACAACAAGCTTGGTGTCTTACCTAAAGAAAAGCAGCAAGTCCTCTATGACTGTGGAAAGTCACACTGAGACTATTGCCTCCAAGAAACTGTATGAGCACTTCCAGATGACAGAGCAATCTGTTACAAAGACATCTGTGGAACCCCTCATGGAAGCTCAGAAAGGGGATGAGTTGCAAGAGGCTGTTGTCAAGATTCAGGCAGCCTTCAAAGGTTATAAAGCCAGGAAGGACATGCGACCAGTCTTCAAAGAAGTATTTAAGGATCAAACTAAGGAGCCCAATGGGACAATTCATCTTGAGTGCATTGTGGAGGGTAAGCCGGATAAAGTTCGCTGGCTGAAAGATGGTGAACCCTTAACAGATGGCAAGCACCACCATATTGACATCTACAATGATGGCACCTGTTCTCTAGTAGTGACAGCTGCCACAACCAAAGACACAGGTGTATATACTTGTGAAGTAACCAATAAGTTTGGTGTTTCCACCCATAGTGGCAAAGTCACTGTAGGGTCCATGCGGGAATCTTCTGGACGACGCCCACTCACTCTAGGCTACAGTGCAGATAGCGAAGCTGAGAGCTCCTCAGGGAGTGAGATGGATGAGACTTTACGGCAAGCAAGTAAACGATTACGGCGACTTCTTTGTACTCGCCTCCCTCCAGATGTGGAAGAGGAACCTTTTGTTAGTGCGGATGAAGGAGATTTACCGCCACCGGACTTACAGTCTTACCGGGAAGACGATCAGTATATCTACATCCGTTTTGATAATCGTGCAGAAGCTCAAGTAGCTTCCCAGCGCTTCCAGGAAATGTTTACTTATCAAGGAGTGCCAATCGAAATGGCCATCATAGCAGTGGCAGGTGCTAAGGTAGAGCTGCGTATCACAAAGATGGGTCTCTCCCAAGATGGCTCCCAAACCCCAACTCAGGACCGACCGATGCCTGCTTTCATGACAGGAGCCCCTGGTATGACACTTCTTCCATGTGGTTCTACTATAAATGTTTTTGCTGCTGTTGTTTGGGTCTTCATAAAGTTGCATGATTCAGTGCTGGATTTTGTTTGTCATTATAGAGCAGCACTTTTGAAATGTACCAGAAATGTTGCGACTTGCTTGTTTTGGATCTTAAAGTGATGGCATGTCATGTTTTCACCTGGTTCAGCATTTCTCCTCAAAAAAAATTGCTATGATTTGTTCTTTTCGGTTTTGTTTGCTCTTCCCTGTTCTCTTAATCGCCTTTCAACCTCCCAGCGGCCCCCGTCTTCCTGACGGAGCTCCGTAGCCAAGATGTTCCTGATGGGTTTCCAGTCAGTTTTGACTGTGTAATTGTTGGCAACCCTCCTCCCACTGTGAGATGGTTCAAGGATGGAAAAATGTTGGAGGAAAACGACCACTACATGATCAATGAAGACCAAGAAGGCCATCACCAGCTGATCATCACAGCTGTGCTGCCCACAGACATGGGCGTGTACCGATGCATGGCTGAAAATGACAGTGGCATCGCCTCCAGCAAGGCTGAGCTGAGGGTGGACAGTGAGTACACTGTTAAAAGAAAGTGTTAATCAAAACCCAAAACTTACAAATGTATACAAGAAAGCAAAATGGTGTTCCAGATTGAAATGTTTTAACAAAGATGGCACTTTCTTTTACCGGTGCATCTGTGACGTGTAAGAATGTGACTGCATGTGTTTTATCATTGTTATTGTTTGTGTTTAGAAGGCCTAAAAATGCACCTACATTCTCAACATACTTAAGATTGAATGCTCTTGATATTTATATGTATTTTGATATTGAGAACTAATTAAAGATCCTTTCATCTGTTTTCTTCATTTTTGTTCATTTGTTATTTGAATATTGAGTATTAGTAAATGGTGACAATTTTTGTTTTTGGACATTTATTTTATACTATTCTTAAAGACTCATGTTGTTTGATTATTGATTCAGTCTTGTGTATCTTTAAAGTGTCTTGCAGCTCAGACTATGACACAGCAGCCGATGCCACAGAGACATCTTCCTATGTCAGTGCTAAAGGTTATGTGTCTAGGTAAGATTCAGTCATTTAATTTAAAGGGATTTTTATGACGTTTTTATGTCAGTACTACAAGGATAAAATTGATTTTGCTCAGATCCTGCCAAAACAAACCTCTGATTTAAATTTCATGCTAGTTCTAAATTGGCTTCTGCTTGTGTTTGGGTTGCTCTTTTAGCTCAGAGCACAGGGACACAGAGGCTTTTGAGTCGGTGGCAGAGGACGAGCAGCTTCCTCAAGTTGTGGATGAGTTACATGATTTATTCCTCAGTCCCGGAGCACCCATTGCCAAAATGAGTGTCAGGGTCAAAGGTCAGCTATGTTTTTTTTTCCCCCCATGAATGCAAATTCTCTTTCAATTCAGATTCTATTTCATCTGTATTCTGATTAATTATGCACTATTTATTCCAAGTGTTTCCTTTTTTGCATCTGCACCTGTTGTATCTATTCAACTCTAGCTGCTCTAACCATAATGATGACATTAATGTCCTTAATCCTTTTTTGTATCTGGTCTATTTGTTATGAACTTGTTTATATTCCTAATAAACATGCACATTGTTTTGCATCTAAGTCTACTGTAATTTTCAGCTGTTGCATTTGCAGATGTAAAATGGGTGGCAAACGTAATTTCATGTTCAATGCCTTTCTGCAGGATTTCCCACACCAAGGGTTTACTGGTTTAAGGATGGCACCCCACTCCAAGCCTCCAGCAGAATTGTACTGTCGACCGAGCGAGATCAGCACAGTCTTGAGATTTTAGATGTTAAGCGTGAGGACACCGGAGAATACTCAGCATATATTAGCAATATAGCTGGCTCTGCCTACTCTTCGGCACGACTGAATGTACTGGGTAAGTGTTCCTTTGATACTTTAACTCTTTTTATATGTCGCTTGCATAGGGTCTTTGTAAGACTGTGACAGGAAATGGAAGCGTGTTGAAATAATAAATTATTAATCATAATTACAGTAAAATTGTTCTCCAAATTAAATGTGCTAAATAAATTCTAAAATGTTTTTCTGTTTGTTTCTTTGTTTACTTTCACTAATTAGCTCCTGGAGAGCGCCCCGCACCTGAACAGGGACGAATGAGAGGTAAGCATCTATCTTGCATACAGCACGTGTGATTATGAATCATTGTTCCACATGATGTAAGATGCAAATGCATTTTGAAATTTAAAGTATTGATATGAAAGATTATGCATGCATGTAATTTGCTATGCCACTTGTGTTTTTCCACAAATAGATTCAAAGGTGCCACTTGTGCCACCACGCTTCCTGGAGAAGTTCAGCAACAAGAAGGTGAAACAGGGAGCAAGTATAACGCTGTCAGTCAAAGTGGAAGGTATGGTGTGTTACCACAATAAATTAAATACCAAGAAAATTACTTTAGATGCAATTTTGAGAAGTAGACAAGCATAACGTTCAGTTGCATATTACAAAAGGTGAAATATGTAAAACTAAGTTACTGTCTTCCAAAGGCTCCCCAACCCCATCTGTAAACTGGTTAAAGGAAGTGTCAGATAAGGATGTTCTGTGGATAAAGGCAGACACACCAGGTTACAAGGTGGCCAGCTCTGGCCGTCAACATAGTCTCATCCTCATGGAAGTGGAAAAAAAACATGGCGGCATGTACACTTGCATCGCCACCAACCGTGCTGGACAGTCAGTCAACACAGCCCTACTGGATGTGGAGACAGGTCAGGAACTCGTGGTTCAGTTATTGACCGTAGTGATGTCAGAATCATGTGACTTTTAAATATTATTTTACCAAGATTTTGGCTGGTACTGTATGTGTAGTCTTTTCACCATGCATACTTTTCTGTCCAACAGCACCAGACCAAAAGAAAGTGGGGCCAGAGTAAGTTTAAATATAAAAGCTTACAGCTGTCAGTTTAGATACTTTTATTCATCTAAACATTTGAAAGTTTTAGAGATTTAGAATGTTTTTTTTTCTCCAGGGTTCTGGGAATTACTATCAGCCCACCGGAGGAAGAGGGCAAAGGTGAATATTTGATATTGATGTTCTATTTTTATTATTTTTTTAACTACTTTTGTTTACCATCAATGCACTGTCAGATTATATCAGAGTGAGCGACTGCCATGATTATGTATTTGTCAAATACTCTGCAACAATACAAATGATTACTGTGATCATATCTCAGGAGAGATCAAACTACCTTCCTTGGGTGAAGTGGGTACAGAGGAGTTCTTACAAAAACTCACAACCCAAATCACAGAAATGGTATCTGCCAGGTTTACTCAAGGTAAGAGAAAACTATTTTTTTTTGTGCTTTTTTTCAGTCAATAATATAGAGCAAAATATTTTTAGAATCTGCACTGCCGGACTGAATTACAACATGTATAAATATATGTACTATTTATACTGTACTAACTTTTATTAAATTAGCCTTCTTGATTTGTAAATTTTGTCATTTTGCACTATTAATAACTATTTATCTTGCTAATGTAGTCTTTTTCAACAGATGCATCCTAATATTCACGCAAAACAGTGTGCACTGTTTTTGAATGAGTTTAGTGTGTGCTCAGATGTTTGAATTTATGCCACAGGATGTACTAAGTACTGAAATGGAGTACACCTGTTGCAAATTCACTGTTTTAAATAATTAATTATACTCTGGAAATTTTTAATGAACACATTCTGTGTAGATTCCTTAACTTCCCTTCTGTTTTATATTTAAAAAAATAAAAACAAAAAATACGTATCTCTGGATCCCTCAATTCCTACACAGCTCACTGACTCCATTCTTTTGTCTATCCATCAAACTATCCATCCATCCTCTCATCCCTCTATTCACTCACATTCTCATTGAAGCATTGATTTGTTCAGACAGCTTACAGAACCATCAAGTGCTCCAGTGGATGAAATCTTGGCCCAAAGTAACCAGTATGTATCTGCAGAACCTCCAGTGTGACACACCAGAACCTTGACTTTTTCTCCATGAGGCTATGCTGTTGTTAATCACTTTGCTTGTTTCTTTGGCTCTCAACCTTTTTTAAAAAGGCATAAATTTAAGATCTTTAATAATGTTAAAAATGCTTCGAGCATTGCCTAGTGGTAATAAAGTCATGGTTCTTTAAAATCAGGGCCATTTGTCACAATTCAAAATAAACTGGACATTCTGAAATTCAGTGGATGCAGACGGTCTCATTTTTACACTTTCATGGTGTCTCTGTTTCAGTATAGAAAATGGATGAACGCATGAGCAATAGGCCTACATTAGTGTTTGTGTGGGCACAATTTTTTTTTTGCACAAGCATGATATAGTGCATGTTAAATCACAGGAGAAATATAATAAAGTACAGTATAAGTTATTATATTCTGAGTCATAGATTATTAAAAAGTAACTGATAGTGGACCTTACAAGTAGTGAGCTCAAATCATTGTCAAATACATGCATTTTTTTGTAACATATTTTGCATAATTTCTCTGCTTCTACAAAAGCAATGGAAAAAGCTTGTCTGGTGAATATTCTCTAAAATATGCTCAAAATGATCAATGAATGAATTAACTTAGTTTGTAAAATAACACAATTCGATTACCTCTTATTTAGAAACTGTATTTTAAATCCAGTGGATCCCAAACTTTTCAAACTACCATCACTCTTAATGTCTTATTCAAATTATTATCATGAACCCCCACCACCCTGTCTCGCCTAAATATGGTAATACCTTGAAACACAATCACATTTAACAGGTAATAAACCAATTTACACTTCTTGGAAGCGAAGATACTTACACATTTGAAGGCTAAATACAAACGATTATTGCTGCTTACCTTCTCTTTAGTTTAGGTCATCGAAACTGGGACAGTTTTCCTCATTAAATCATTCCCACCATCCATTTTGGAGAGATAATTTGCAAATCCATATTACCACCATTTTGTATCTTTTCGGGCTGTCTTACTTTTTTAAGCAAATGCACGTTTTTGCGATAGTTTTAGTACGGAGGTTACCGTAGCCTTAATAAAAGTCTGTTCAGTCAATTCGCGGTATTTTTTAAAAAACGGCGGCTTTCACAGCGGAAGCATCTGTCATCGCGAGATTTAAATGTACGCAGGCGATTCTTCGAACGGCAGTAGTGTTTGTTACATTAAACTGCTTACTTTAGTGACACTGACGACTCACATCAGCTAGCAGCATATGTCAAATATGTAAATTTTATAAAGAAATAAACTCTTAAAATTATTATATTTTATTATTATTTTTTAAGACCCCCGTATGTCCGCGTGCTGCAGTTGGGGAACAACTGTTGTAAAGATATATCATGTCTAAATTACCACACAAACACCATTGCTAAGGTTGTTAATATTAGGCCTATATCAAGTTTATGTAATAAAGACCATTTAAACCACATTCTGAAGTACATATGTTAAAGATGTGTACAGTGTACTAGCCTATATAGTTTTTTTTCTTTTTGACAAAAAAAAAGAAATGTTTGCTTACAATATAAAATTTGGGGTACCTATTTTTGCTATTTATTATTATTATTATTATTATTATCATTCAAATTTCATGTCCAGATTTATATTTTCAAATTACATTCTGAATATGCATCTGCTGACTTTTTAACTGAATACCGTAATCTGAGCAAATGTATTGAAGTCCTATGCAAATGTGATGCTAAAGCCCATGCTGTCAGGCATGATACTTAAATATTTTTTGTGGCCATAAATAATTGACACGATACCTCTTTCTTCCTCTATCCTTTTGGTCCCTGTCTGCCTCAAGCTTCATTACGTGTCCCAGGAGCTGACAGCGATGATGAAACAAAAACACCATCTCCATATCACGGCCGATCACGCCCTCCATCTCTGATCGCAGACTCATCATCTGAGTCAGATGATGGAGATGCCAGGGGAGAGGTATTAGAAATAACACATTCTCAGTGTCATCAGCAAAGTCATTTTAATATTGTAACTAATGTATGTGTTGCTATTCTGTTCACATAAGAATTTTTTAGGTAAGTTAAGCATCTGGTTAATCTTCAGTTCACAGAAGGATATTTAAAAGCAGAATCCAGAGCTTAAGAGGGACGAGGGCAAGTCACCTTATCCAAATGCTCTGTTGTCTCAATGAATCTGTGCAGATGTTTGATATCTATGTGGTGATCGCTGACTACAACCCCATGGGAGTCAGCAAAGATGTCATCGCTCTGAAAGAGGGCCAGTATGTGGAGGTTCTGGATTCTGCCCACCCACTTAAATGGCTGGTCCGCACCAAGCCCACCAAATCCAATCCATCTCGCCAGGGATGGGTCTCGCCTGCGTATCTCGACAAAAGACTGAAGGTCAGTTTAGGATCATTCAGAATGGATAACTGGTCATGTAGTGGTGAAATATTGATTTAAAAAATGTGTGCATTTGCTTGTGCATCTTATAATTTCTCACCGATGATGGAATGGTTGTGTTGTAGCTGTCTGCAGATGTTGCAGACCTCCCAGAGACCACCAGAGAAGAAGTCACAGAGACAGAGTACAAGAAAAAACTCTGGTAAATTTGGACATTTTATTAAAAGTGCAATGTGCATTTTATTTTGTACTACTTTAGTAATTCTACCTGGGTTTCACTTGTATCTAGTCTACTCGTCCAGGAGCTGATTAGCACAGAAACTGAGTTTCTGAAGGAGATGGAGTTCTTCACATCACACCATCTGAAGGGTGTGGATAAAGAGAGCACACCGTCTGAAATCACCAGCCAGAAGGAAACCATCTTCCGTAATATCAATGATTTGAAATCCTTCCACATCAGGTACAGAGTTCAGACAATCAAATATTATGGTTAATTCTACAACTCTGCATTTTAATTTTTAAGGAGTATAAGGATTGTTTTCATTTATGTGCTAGTCTTGACATATGGAATCTGACAACAGGGAAATGCATAATGAGGTTTGACTGTTTTTCAGTACTTTGCTGCCTGGTCTGCGTGATTGTGACACGGATGATGACATTGCCATGCATTTCCTGAGAAACTCTGAAGGGTTTGAGAAATATTTGCAGTACCTCATTGGACAATTGCAAGCCGAGTCCGTCATCAGTGAGAAAGAAGTGCACCAATATTTCAAGGTGGGTTTACAAAATATTGACCGTATAGTTATGGTTTTCAGGAGGCATAAAATTTGCATTAGAAAAAAACGACATTTGATCTTTTTTGTCTTTTAAGTCTAGTGCTGTCAAACGAATAATGTCCGTAATATCAATGATTTGAAATCCTTCCACAGCAGGTACAGAGTTCAGACAATCAAATATTATGGTTAATTCTACAACTCTGCATTTTAATTTTTAAGGAGTATAAGGATTGTTTTCATTTATGTGCTAGTCTTGACATATGGAATCTGACAACAGGGAAATGCATAATGAGGTTTGACTGTTTTTCAGTACTTTGCTGCCTGGTCTGCGTGATTGTGACACGGATGATGACATTGCCATGCATTTCCTGAGAAACTCTGAAGGGTTTGAGAAATATTTGCAGTACCTCATTGGACAATTGCAAGCCGAGTCCGTCATCAGTGAGAAAGAAGTGCACCAATATTTCAAGGTGGGTTTACAAAATATTGACCGTATAGTTATGGTTTTCAGGAGGCATAAAATTTGCATTAGAAAAAAACGACATTTGATCTTTTTTGTCTTTTAAGTCTAGTCCTGTCAAACGAATAATGGCGATTAATCGCATCCAAAAGAAAAGTTTTTATTTACATAATATATGTGTGTGTATTGTGTATATTTATTATGTATATATAAATACACACACACATGCATGTATATATTTAAGAAAAATGTTATGTTTATACATTTAAAATATTTGTATATAATATGAATTATATGAATATAAATATATACATGGAAATATTTTCAAAATATATACTGTATGTGTGTGTATTTATATATACATAATAAATATACACAATACACACACATATATTATGTAAACAAAAACTTTTCTTTTGGATGCGATTAATCGCCATTAATCGTTTGACAGCACTACTTTAAACTGAAAGAATTTGGTACTCAGACACAGAACATAACATGTTTCATGTATTTTTTCATTAGGATTATACAGTCTCGGAGTTGGCAAATGTTGACCCCTCAGAGGGTCCAGTGCTAAGCATCAACGCTTACCTTCAGAGACCACCGGAGAGAATTCAGAAGTACAGAGCTTTACTGAAGGTAATAAATAATAATAAATACCACAATTCAAATTTTTCAAGGTCTAGGTGTAGGCAATCTCCACTTTCAAATAAATATTTACATAAATATGTGCTTAGAAATTGTGTTATGGATTATGTGATACAACTCTTAACTAACTTTTGAAAGTGACCAACACATTTCCAAATTTCACATGATTTTAATCTAGGAATTGATCCGGAACAAGGCGAGGAACGGTCAAAACTGCTGTTTGTTGGAGCAGGCCTATGCCATGGTGTCATCCCTCTCCCAGCGCTCAGAAAACACACACCATGTCTCCCTCATAGAGAACTACCCCGCCAATCTGGAGGCACTGGGAGAACCTATTAGACAGGTACAATCCCTAACTCAAATGTCACCATTTAAGGTCTTACCTGTTTCACCTATTTGTAGTACATTTAAAAACTTTTAAAATTACAGTGTAAAATGAAGTTCTGAATTTTTCTACAGGGGCCCTTCACTGTTTGGGAAGGAGCTCCTGGAATTCGAACATCTTCCAGAGGTCACCACCGCCACGTTTTCCTCTTCAAAAACCATGTGGTCATCTGCAAACAGAAGAGAGACACGAACACAGACACCCAAGCATATGTGTTCAAGAATATGATGAAGGTTGGAGCTTTGCAGAAGCTTTTAAATGACAGAAATTAAGTGATGCACGTACTGTATTTAACACGAAATGTACTAAGGCCAATGCTGATCATTTAAAATGGCCAAATACTGTCTTCACGGGGATTTCTTAATTACTGGTTTGCCACATAGCTTCACTTATATGATAATATTGTTTATAAAAATCTAATGCATTATAAAATAATGTGTTTTTTCTTTAGCTTACAAACATTGATGTGAATGAGACGGTGGAGGGTGATGAAAGAGCGTTTGAGATCTGGCATGAGCGCGAGGACTCCGTGAGAAAATACACGTTGCAGGCACGGACTGTTGTCATCAAGAACTCATGGCTCCGCGACCTCCGTGACCTTCAGCAGCGCTACAGCATGCCAGCATGGAGTAAGTCTCCAGCATTAGCATGATATAGCATGTTAGCATCAGCCTGGTTCCCTTGACAAAAACCCAAAAGGATTTTTACATTGGCTAACTGGATTATTGCAGAAAATAAGTTCTGGGACCAACAAAAGTTTATGAATCTTACACATATAGTTCATCATGATTATTATCATAAATTAATACGTTTTTATTTTGGCAATTGTATTTGGCCTAATACAATTGCCAAAATAAAATGTTAAGCTAAAAATTAACAACACAACTGAGCTTCCAATAACTCTTTTAAACTTTGTTTAAAATCTGTATGTTGGAAAGTCTGAGTCTTAGTTTGCAATAGCATGATAATAAACACAATGAAGCTGTAAAAGTGGACTAGTGTGTAGATGAATTTACCTGTCTGGTGTGATTGATGTCCTCAACTCCTTCTGTAGTCCCATTTAGCCACAACTGCTTTTTTAAAGATCAGTAAAAGCTTTACAAAAAAAAAATCACTTTTTTAATTACTGATGTATTTTATGTCATAGAATAAAATGTGAAAATATCTTGAGCTTATTTCAGGCATTTAACCAAAAAACATTTTAAAAATGCTGCTGTTTATGGGTTTTGGCCTGCAAAAATACGTCATTCCTGCAGCAAGAGGCAAAAAGAGAAAACACACTCCACTTAAAGGCACAATATGTAAGATTTTTTTATTAAAATATCCAAAAACCACTAGAACAGTGTTATATATTTTGCTGACTTGTGTACTTACACTATCCCAAATGTTTCGAAGAATGTTTAAATCCAGAGAAATAAGCAATTTTAACGAGTGACACGGACCGTGTCTATAGTGTCACTGTGTCGCCTGCCAATGACGTCATAACCCCTCGATTTCCGTTCTCCTCGATTTGTTTTGTAGAAAACATGGAAACGCCAAAGACGCTTTAATATGTTGTGCGTTTTAATAGACAGGTGACGACCGCACAGAGTAGCATTATAACAGAACTTTCAAATGTATCTAGTATGATAAAACAGCGCTGCTTTACCCCACATACGCACGACCGGAAGGAGCGGAAGCGACTGTGGCATAATAAAAGCTCTGCTGCTTTTGAGCCGTGTGTCACGCTCGTTCAGCGCCTCGTTTCGCTTCGACAGCTTTCAGCCTCACCCCGCTTCATTCTACTATGTTAATAAATCATTAGCTCATCCATGAACATGATTTCTGCCCGAGTCCCATCGGATTGCATCAGCTGTGAGGATGAAGACCACAACTCCCATGATTCCACACCCAGTCACTGCGTCATCAAACTAGCCTTTGTCTATTTGTTTATTTTTAATACACGCCCTCTAGCAGTGAAAATTATATATTGTGACTTTGAAGGGTTAGTTCACCCAAAAATGAAAATTCTGTCATTAATTACTCACCCTCATGTCGTTCCAAACCTGTAAGACCTTCATTCATCTTCAGAACACAAAAACATTACATGTGTGCTGAACGTAAACAACGCTGATTTCGTTCTGGGGTACTTTCCAAAATGGCGAAAGACGGTAACTCGGGGAGAAGAATTGTTGAATAAGTTATGTTATTATTGTTTTCTTTGCGCACAAAAAGTATTCTCGTAGCTTTGTAAAATTACGGTTGAACTAGGGATGGGCGATACCACTTATTTTGTTTTCGATACGATACCGATATTTTTCAAGGCAGTATCGTCGATATCGATACCGATTCGATACTTCTGAACTAAATTTTTAAATTATGTAATGTTTAAGAGATATCAGTTCTCCTAAATACAATGTCATGTTCTTAAATACTACAATAGAAATAAACCCTAGTCCTAATATTTAGCATTTTACTTATGTTACAGGCCCTCCAGATTTTGACGCGGTGTTGACAGACTGCACAGCAGAGCTCGGACAGACGGTAAAGCTCGCCTGCAAGGTCACTGGTGCCCCCAAACCACAGGTCACCTGGTACAAAGGTAAGGAACCAAATCTTAGGTTTTTCCCTTCTTGATGTCTTCTTAGAAGTAAAGTAATTCATCCATCTGTTTCACAAACAGACGGGCGTGCCGTGGAAGCGGATCCTCATCACATCATCATTGAGGACCCAGACGGCTCTTGCACACTCATTTTGGACAACATGACAGCAGACGACTCAGGACAATACATGTGCTTCGCCACCAGCTCTGCGGGCAACGCCAGCACACTAGGCAAAATCACTGTGCAGGGTGAGTGAGTAACCTGATGTTTCCAACTTAGTAAAGTTGGTTTTACTCCATTTCATTCCTGCTCATTTTTATTTAACCTCTTGCAGTACCTCCACGTTTTGTGAATAAGATCCGGAATGCCACCCTTTATCCAGGAGAAGAAGCACAGTTCACCTGCACCATCCAGAGTGCACCGAGTCCCAAGATAAGGTAGTCACTCCATTTACACTATCATTTATGTTATTTCTATGTTTAAATAATGAGTCAAAATGGCCCAGAAGATCTGGGTGATTCATATTATAATATTCAAATCAGTGCATTCCATAAATAAGTTCCAACTGTTTTAACTCAAAATTAATTGAGTTAATGTTAAACTATGCCATTTCCCTGGACAGATGGTTTAAGGATGGTAAACTACTGACAGACCTGGAGAAGTTTCAAACATACAGTGAACCGCGTAGTGGAGTGTTGGTTCTAGTTATCAAGAACCCTGGAGAACGAGACCTTGGACAATATGAGTGTGAGGTATGGAGATTGTTACATTAGTCCTTTCAGTTCTTATTTTACTCCAACCCTAAGGAAATAAGCCTTATCATCATATTATTCATTTGCAGCTGTCAAACCGTCTGGGCAGTGCCAGGTGTGCGGCACAGCTGATCACTCCTGCTGTGGCAATGGCGGGAGAACGTAGAGCAGATCAGGCCATCAGTATAGAAGGTAAAAGAGATGCCTGCCAATACATGTATGGGAATGATTTTTAACTGGGTGGCATGTGCTGTGACATTACTTACTGAAAACTAAGAATGCATTAAATTAAAAAAAGTACACATCCTGCATTCACTTATATTTAGAATTTAGGAATGTATTTTTCATATTTGAGCATCATGTTTGTACCTATTTGACTGAAATTTGATAACTGAAAATAACTTGATGTTTTTAAAAGATGTTACAATTTTTACCGTTTTTATTGTTTTTTCAACTAGTAACGGAACAAGAGACGAAAATACCGAAGAAAACCATAATTATGTAAGTCTCATATACACACACACACCTAAGCACAAATTTAATACACTACTATTCAAAAGTTAATCATTTTAGTCAGTAAGGACGCATTACATTGATCAAAAGTGACAGTAAGGCACTTACATTGTTACACGATATTTTTAATTAAATGCTGTTCGTTTGAACTTTCTATTCATCGCAGAATCCTGAAAAAATATATTAGTTTCCAGAAAAATACTAAGCAGAACAATGATTTCTGAAGGATCATGTGACACTGAAGACTGGAGTAATGATGCTGAAAATTCGTCTTTCTATTGCAGGAATACATAAAATATTAAAAGACATTAACATAGAAAATTATTTTAATCATAAATATTTCACATTACTGTTTTTACTGTATTTTTGATCAAATAAATGCAGCCTTGGTGAGCATAAGAGACTTCTTTCAAAAACTTACCAACCTGAAGCTGATGTGCTTTTAATGTGCTTCTTATGTGCTTTTTCCTCTTCAAGTGAGGAGACCATCACCACAGTGGTGAAGAACACCCGTATGAAACGGCACGCATCCCCACGACCATCGCCCATGGGAGCTCACCGCTCAGAGACGTCCACACCCGAACCGCCCAGACAGAGACGAACCCTGGCCAGGAAGACTGTACCGACACTGTACGTTCCAGAGCCGGAGGGTGCCACGGCCAGGAACCCAAGATGGGTAGAAGTCGAAGAGATAATCGAGTATAAAGTGAACAAATCACCCAAGTTACCAAGAAGAAGAGGCGTTTCCCCCAGCAAGTTCTCACCACCTGGCAATCCAAACACTAATAACTCCAACAACAAGTTACTCGAGGAGGCAATGGGTGCCGCAATGGCTCTGCAATGTTCTTCTGGTACAGATGAAGAGGAAACTGCACTGAATGTGTCTGAGGTACCTTCAGAGGTCGACAATATGACAACATACTCAGGAGAAATTGATGACCTATGTGTCTCTGATGGAGATGATGAAGGAACTATTGTCGTGGAGCATGAAGATGACGAACTTGATGCTCGAGACCGAAAAATGCTGACTGATGGGAATCGAGTTCTTACTCTTGAAGATCTCGAGGACTACGTCCCTCAGGAAGGGGAAACATTTGGCAGTGGTACAGACCAGCATGTCCTCTTCGAGAAACCAAGTGAGATCTCAGTGTTGCAGAGAGAAATTAACGAGCCTGTCGTTGGCAAACCCATTGTGTTGAACGTGGTACGTCCGGTGCCCCAAGCAAAGCCTCGCATGGGATTCTTTGGGTCCTTCAAGGATCACATTTCCAGCATGTTTAGTCCAGGTTCATCGGTGAGTGGCAGCTCTCAGGCAAGGCGAGAGAAGACCATACCTATTCATGTGACGGTACAACCTTCATCCAACGATTCACGCCATACCAGTAGCTTTGCGAGGCTTGAAGTCCAGCCGACGTACTGCTCCGAGGTCCAGAGAGGAAAGGAAGGAGGTCTGCAGAGCTTCAAAACACAGGTTGCCGCACAAACCCGCAGCTACACGCCAACCGGACAGGTCACTCTTCAGATCAGCAAGAAGAAACCATTTGAAAAGCAGTAACCAAGAGGAAACCACTCAGGACAGATTCTCTGATGCTTGTTTCCAGCATGCAAAATCAGGAACATACAAGTAGGCCTAGTCTTAAATGGGAACACTTCTGTAAAATCTTGCGATCTGGGAGTGTAATTCAATAGTGAAGCTTCTTCTAACAGCAGATCATTCCATGTTGAGGCAAAGGATTCGCTTGCCAAACTCAATGACCTAATGAAGACTTTCTAATTTCTTGAGTTCCCGTGAGCAAATGTGCAGCTGTGCTTCGGAACGGCAAGTCTGATACAACATGAATGTGCAAATATGGACAGTAAAGCTGTCTTTCGTCTAAAGCAGGGGCGTCCAGTCCTGGCCATGGAGGACCAACGTCCTGCAGAGTTTAGCTTTAACCAGCTCCAACACAGTTGCCTGGAAGTTTCTAGTACAGGGGTGTCCAAACTCGGTCCTGGAGGGCCGGTGTCCTGCAGAGTTTAGCTTGCATCAACACACCTGCTTGGAAGTTTCTAGTATGCCTAGTAAGAGCTTGATTAGCTGCTTCAGGCGTGTTTATTGGGGTTGGAGCTAAACTTTGCAGGACACCAGCCCTCCAGGAGCAGGATTGGACACCCCTGTTCTAGTAAGTCTGAAGACTTAAATATCAGGTTCAGGTGTGTTTAATTAGGGTTGGAGCTAAACTCTGCAGGACAAGTAGTTTGGACACCATTGGTCTAAAGCAGAGGTTCTCAACCTTTAGCTCCATCCTTGATCAAACTCACCTTTCTGTAACTTTCTAGAAAGACCTTGATTTGCTTGTTCAGGTGTGTTGGATTTGAGTAGGACCTACACTCTGTAGTAAATTGGACCTTCTGAGAATCCCTGTACTATGAAACACTTGAAGAAATAAGAGGGTGTTTGTGTATGTCAAGAAATCCAAATTTGGACTCCAAAAATAAGATTTTATCTGAATGTCATTTATGTGCTGTATGGAATTAATGTACCTGAGCAATACATACATATATATATTTGAGTGTTTTTCAACATCTAAAAAGCCAAATCAACTTTTTCTGTCAAGTTGATTGCATGAGTTGTTCTTTGTTGTAATACACTGTGGCTTGTTGAATCTGAGGTCTATGTTAATGTATTAGAAATCTTGAATATGTCATCCTGCACTGAAGACTATTCAATGTGGTCAGCATTTTAGTGTTGCAATGTGAATGTATGGGGTTTTGTAGACTGACAAAGGAATAGCTGTGGGAGATCTTAAGAACCATAACACAAAATCTATTTAATGACTTTAGAAGATTTATTTTAAAAAGTATTTCTTGTGCAACATGACTTTAAGCACATAGTATTTACAGATTTAAAAAGATTTGCGATTTACTGGAGTAATACTAATATATATATATATATTAAATGTTTGAACTTTAAATACAAACACAAATTTTGTGTCAACCAAAATTTGCATGTGTAACATAATTTGTATTGTTTTGTGGATCACATGGTTTGAAAAGTTTTGGTAAAAGCAAAATAAATTAGGACTGCCAAGGGTGTTCAGCAGATAGAAGAAGAAAAAAAGTTGAATAAATAAAAATGTAGGTCTTGAAGTTCTGCTTTACAAAATAAGAGTATATTTGGATGTGTGTATTATAAATCAGACTTCTGTCCAATTATAAACTGATATCACATAACATTGATATTAAAGAAATGATAGTAAAAAAAAAAAAAAAACTTTCAGTTTGTATGGAGTATGGTGAAAATCGTCGGACACGCACAGTTTCTTTTAATATTGCACTCTCATTTATTCATTTCACTCTAGACATGCTTACCTATGTGTGTAAGTACACATCTTCACTGTATACATACTAAAGTATGTATACGCCAACACACACATAATTAAACATGTAGAATTGTACATATATATTTATATAGACCTATAAATTTACATGTACGCACATTTATAAAAGAGTGCACACAATGCACTCTTGCACACACACGCGCGCGCACACACTCTCACAAAACACATACAAATGTCATGCGTCTGTGGCTCAATGTTTGTCTCCTGTACGTGAACACACACGCACTCACAGACACAAACGTGGATATATATCTCAAACATACTTCATATCCAAAAAGGTCTTTGAAAACAACACCAGGTTGTGATTTTGGACACTTCCAACTTTTTTTTTTCTTTCAATTTTTCTGTTTTTAAAGCTGAGAATTGAAATAAAACGCAAGACGAGAAAGAAAGGCATGGTGCCGTTTCGTCCGATCATAACCGCAGGTAAGGGGGTCAATTTGCATAATGTATACAGGTTAAGATTTTTCTTTCCTATATTTATTTATTTTTTTAATAAAGAACTTTTTCTCTTTTTATATAAACAAAGCAGAAAAACAAACAAATAACCGAAAAAAAGAAACTAAACTCTACAGAGTAGGTCCCCATCCACAGTCCCTTCTGCTGACAGGGGTGACATCAAGCTGTACAGCGCAGTCAAAAACATATGTATCAGCTTCATTTACAGGTACAGCCATAATCAAGGCACAAAGATCTACAAGTAGATTTTTTACTCTCTTTCAATAAAGTTGTACAAAATAATATAACATTTTATAGTCTGTACATGAAAGGAAAAAAAAAAATCATCACCTTTGCACAGTCTGTACAAGTTAAGAAACTAAAATTAGAAATGGGGCGTTTCTTTTCGAGGATGTTTCGCCGTCATGTTCCCAAAACCAAACCGAGGCCTTAGCAATGTTCCCGTAGCCCCTCCTCTTCCTCATTTCAACGGCTCCGCCTCTTCACAGAGCCCCTCCTCCTTGTTTCAAAGGCTCCGCATCTTTCACATAAAAAGGGGCGTGGTCATCCCCGCCATTCTCTGACCTATCCGCAGCCTTAAGTGGGACAGGAATTCATGATTTGATGCTACATTGTGTGTCCATCTTCGTAAAGGAAACCGTCAGTCAAAACCTGATGGAAAAGTGCATTACTTCACTTCGCTTCCCCAGTGTTCGACAACCCCCGGCCCGCCTCCCTGTCCCCGCCTCAGTCCGCGGGCGATCTTCAGTGTTCGGAAACAGAAAGAGCAGCAGAGAGCCCTGTAGGCCAGAAGATCCGAGGCCTTAGCAATGTTCCCGTAGCCCCTCCTCTTCCTCATTTCAACGGCTCCGCCTCTTCACAGAGCCCCTCCTCCTTGTTTCAAAGGCTCCGCATCTTTCACATAAAAAGGGGCGTGGTCATCCCCGCCATTCTCTGACCTATCCGCAGCCTTAAGTGGGACAGAAATTCATGATTTGATGCTACATTGTGTGTCCATCTTCGTAAAGGAAACCGTCAGTCAAAACCTGATGGAAAAGTGCATTACTTCACTTCGCTTCCCCCGTGTTCGACAACCCCCGGCCCGCCTCCCTGTCCCCGCCTCAGTCCGCGGGCGATCTTCAGTGTTCGGAAACAGAAAGAGCAGCAGAGAGCCCTGTAGGCCAGAAGATCAAGGTTCGGGGTGAGAGACTAGGACTCCTGGAGGTCACAAGGTGATGCGATCTTCATAATCTGCCAGGCGCCAGCACGTATACATATATATACACACGACGATATCATTTTTTATTTGAATAAAAAATAAGGAGGTAGCCAGAGGCTTCATGGAATGGCAAAAAATAAAGGTGATTCGAATAAAAACGTGGGGGGGGGGGGAATCCAGCGAGCCTCTCCGCTCCGAATCATGAGTTAAAATAAAACACCTAAAAAAACCGAAGGGTGGTGCGCCAAACGTCAGTAGTATATTCGTCTGCGGTTTTGGCCTCGTGAGTTATGAGGGCAGGGGGAGTTTGGAGACACGTTTGTAAAGAGCTGAAGTGAGATCACAAGAGTTCGTACTGCCGCAGGTGCATTCTCTGGATGATGTCTCGGCAGTCGTTGAAGACCCGGCGGATGTTTTCCGTGTCCACTGCACATGTGAAATGGGGGTAACAGTAGTGACGGCCGTCTCCGCTTTCTGTACTGATCCTCTGCGAAAAGACAGGGTGAAAATTAGGGATTTCAAATGATTACAACCAGTTTTTCATGATTAATCACCTATTTTTTGTAGTTAAAATTTAAGAAACTAAATATATATCTTAAATGGATTCTTCTGGAAATGTGCTATGAACTTAACGCTTCAGACAGAAGTGGAAAAAAAAATGCTTTTTTAAAAGGCTAAACAAGGTTTAAATTACAGTGTCTTGAAGAAAACAACCAGCCAATATTCCAACGAATCTCCAGCGAAATTATATTTAGTGAGTCTTTAAAGTCTGAATTGAGTGTAAGGAGTTAAAAAGGTACATGAAATAATGGCAAGGCAACAATCTTTCTTTTGCACAGTCTTTGCTGATTTTACTTCCAACTAAATATATACTGTAACTAGTGTAATCATTGTGATTAATAAATCTTAAATATTTCAATAACTGAACAATTTAACGCTGTACATATAACATATACACTAAAAAATGATTGCTGAAAATGAAAGTACATGGCAAATATTTATTCTTTAGAGAGCCACAGGATGGCGCCAATTATTGGTTTACTTATTTAAATAGAAAAGAGTAAATATTGGTCAAAAATGTTGGCAAAATCAAACATTGGTCAATATCTAGTCGTCTACAAACTACCCATCATAATAGAAAAGGAAAATCACAACAGTCTAAAATCCGACTGCAATAGTTGCCGTGTTTCATCGGTGTGTTACAAAATGAAAATGCTAACCAAAAACTCGTCACGAATGAAATACTTGGCTCTCGTCACTCTGGGGTCTTCACCGGGTTCAGGAGTTACTGAAAGATAGAAAAGACTCGACAGATGAGCATACAGAGAAGCTGACACTGACCTGCACATGAATCCAGTTCACAATACCAAATGATTTTGAACTGACAGATCTGAATCTCCAGTTCAACTCACACAAATATAGTGCACAAGTCATATGGACTACTTTTATGACTGATACATTTATTGAGCTTGTGCACCTTTTCATGACAGTATTTTCATATTTCCTTTAACCAAAAAATAGATCACGTCCATTATTTGCCAACTAACAACTAAAACTTCAGTACTACAGTATTTGAGAACTACTGGGTGTTGATCAGTGGGTGAAAAGTCTAACCTTTATCAGGTAAGGTGTAAGAAGTATATTCAGGGAAATAATCTTCAATTTTGGATTTCCCAGCTAATACTTTCTCTGCCAGCATGTCTTGTTTGTTTAGGAACAATATGACCGAAATGGTCCGCAGCCATCTGTGAAAAGAAGAAATAAAGACACACACACACACACACACACACACACAGAGACGGGGGTCAGTAAAGCCTGCACTTACACTTATAAGCAAGTTATATATTACGAATAAGAAAACAAAGGCATCACCTGTTGTTCCAGATACTGCGAAAAAGAGCAAGTGCTTCCCGTAGCCTGTTCGTGTTGTTGTCTTCCCTTAAGACCATGTTATAGCTGCTGCTTGCTACCACAAAGATGATCGCTGTGACGTCTGCAAATCAGCACCACATGTGTGATCAGCAGGTGTTTTGTTATTTTCTGATGTTTAAATGTATAAAGAGATAGTTCATCCAACAAAAAAAATGAAAAATCTGTTATTTTTTTCACCCTAATATCGTTCTAAACCTGTCATTGTTTCTTTCTAACTCACACACACACAAAAAAAGGTATTTTGAAGAATGTTGGTAACCAAACAACGGCTGACGGTAGCTAGAGTACAGAAAGAATACTATGGAAGTCAATGGCTACCGTCAACTCTCTGGTTACCAACATTCTTCAAAATACCTTCTTTTGTGCTCAACATAAGAAAGAAACTCATACAGGTTTGGAACAACATGAGGGTGAATAAATCATGACAGAATTGTCATTTTTGGGTGAACTATCACTTTAAAGTATATAAAACGAAATTGTTGAAGACCAAAGTTGTTTAACAGGCATGCGTCTCACAAGCGGTCATTCACACACACACTCAGTTTACCATTAAAACACTGAATCCACTTTTTCCTTTCGTCTCTCTGACCTCCCACGTCAAACATACTGAAAGAGAAGAACACAGACATGAGGCTGTAGGATGAGAAACGTGTCCCTCTAGTGTACATATGAAGACATGATTTGCGGTGGACTCACTGAAAGTTGACTTTGTCCACCTGAAATCGCGTCTCAAAAATCCCTGATGTTAACACTCTGCAGCGAAGCAAGTCCTGAAAGAAGGAAGATTGAGAAAAAGTGTGTTCATTTCTGGAAACTAGCTGTCTCGCATGCAGGTTCTCATCTAGAAAAAGCTGAAAAAGTACCTGGTCTGTTGGAGTATAGTCGCTTTGTCTTACTGCATCGATCCGGTCAAGAAAGCTGGAAAGACACAAATGAAGAAAAGCATGAAGAAAAAGCTAATCGTTTGACACATTTAGGGGTTTATTTTATTCATGACCAAACTACAGTATTTATGTTTTGGACGATATATAATTGTACTATACATGTCATTACAATACTGTTCAATAGTTCGGTAAATTGTCTCTGACATTTACCAAGGCTACATTTAGGATTCCTTGATGAATATAAAATTCACCATTTTTTTGGAATAAACTTTATTTGCAACAATGCATAAGTATTTATTGTCAATTTAATGCATCCTAAATGAATCAAAGAACCCTTCAAAAACACTGTTCATCGTGTCTCAAGTGTGACTTTGGTACTTTCATCATTAAAATGGCAGAAACTATCAACGAAGAACCGACAAGGTCTAGATATACCTGTTGCTGTATCAAATATATTCACAGGACCTGATCTCCTCATTGGACCTGAACTGAAAGAACTGAACCCTTGAAAGCATTGCCTACAGCAAGTACACAGCTGAAGTATGTTAGATAACAAGCCCATATCTTTCTCTTACTTCCCTGCAGAAAGGCAGAATATTAGCCCAACACTCTGTGACCATCATGTGATTAGTGCCATCAGCACTAACGCAGACAAATATAGACTCATCCCACAAGCTTGTGACAACAAGACAATCTGCAACGATATTGCCAAAAAAAAAAAAAAAACTCCACTCTTGCTTTTCATTTTTGTGTGATATTGAAGCATTTTGTTTAGATGTGAAAATGCAGATAAAGTATAATGTACTAACGATCAGGTCATTACTTTTAACATATTATAGTCTAGTCATATATGAAAGAATACTTTTATTCAACAAAGACGGGTTACAAAAATGTTACAAAAGGTTTCCATTTCAAACACATGCTGTTCTTTTGAACTTTCGGTTCATCAAAGAATCTTGAAAATAAAAATGACTCATGGCTTCCACAAAAATATGAAGCAGCACAGCTGTTTTCATCACTGATAATGAAATGTTTCTCGAGCAGCAGATCAGCATATTAGAATGATTTCTGAAGGATCATGTGACACAGTAATGATGCTGAAAATTCAGCTTTGCATCACAGAAATAAATTATATTTTAAAATGAGTTAAAATAGATAATATTTGGGGGGAATTTTTATTTTTATTTTTAATAATAATAATTTAATGAAATAATGTATTAATTTAATAAAAAATCTTTTCAAAAATTAAAAACAAAAGAATTTAATAAAAACAATAATTATATTATAAAAAGAATTATTTGAAAATATTTTTTATTATTTTGATTTGCAATAATAATTCACAATATTACTGTTTTTCATTTATTTTCGGATTTGAATGAAAAAAAAAAAAAAAGGTTTTGGTGAACATGAGAGACTTCTTTCTTAAAAATATTTAAAATAATACATGCCACAGACCACAGAACGAAAAAAACAAACAATACAAAATTATATTCAGTGGAATAAATATATTAAATATTTACCATTAAGTATTTAATGCCAATTAGTGATCATCTAATAAAAGTCTCTCATATTTACATGATTATATAATCTTTAATATTACAAATTAAATCTAGGGTGACACTGACTGCTTTCATCATCATTAAAAAAAATAATTGGTGACATTTCTTTGCGTTTTGTTTTGTGGTTTCATTAGAACAGACAGCGATACATGGAAAACAACAGACTGGAACAAGAACACTGTCTGCGAACTCACTGTTGCTTTAAAAACTGATAACAACCTCCACAACTGCTCAGTAAAACATTACAAACCACAAATACCAGCACTAGATCGCCACTCATAATAAACACACTGAATGACCTGTCAGCTGCAGACGCTTCTTCAGTATCAACGTGCAACCTGTAAATAAAACCCATGCATCCCTATATACTGTATGTACACTCCACCAAACATGCCCATGTATTTCCAATGTTCACCCCCAGAGGGCAGATGTCTTTTTGGCTGTAGTAAACCTCATTGAGTTTGAAGTCCTCCTCCCTAACTGAAGTCCAGTGATCTGTCTGAGAATCAACCAAAACTATTTTTATTTTACTGTGAGCACTCTAAAAAGACAGTGACTATGCATCTCATGACTACAAAAAGAGCTCTTCAGCAGCATCAGGCGAGCTGAGGAGGTGTTTGTGTGACTATCTGCCATCAAGGATACATACAGTATTGACAAGATGTGCACGGCGAGTCCCCACCTTCGTCTTCTGCCGTTTTGCACGTACGGAACGTTGTATACGTACGATCAGTGTTGACACAAAGGTCGAAGAAGAACAATCCAAACAAATTCCACAGGTTGATTTAGGCAGAACTAAATATTACTGTAAAACAGACTAGCTCTACGATCAAAACTAAAAATGGCACGTGACTAAACAAACTCATTTTTGGATAAGATTGCATAAAGAACTAAGCCAGATACTTTTGAACTTTGTCATCTTATTTGTTTAAAAGTATAAAACAAATATATAATTACATATACAAACAAAAACAAATGATTATATATTTATTTCATAATTTGATATATTAAATATAAAATTCATAATACTGTAAAAACATATACAATAAAAGTATATTGATTCATTTTTAATAAATTTTTAAAAGGAACTTTTATCAAATTAATTTCAATTAAAGTGCGTGTATATATTCATGTGAATGTACATTTTTTCAAAGATAAAATTATCAGTTTTATTATAGTGGTTTTGAACTTGTGTTTATTTCTGTATTTGTTTAGCTATTATAGTATATTATAACAATTTTATATAGTTAGAATACAGTTATTTTATATAATAATTTTATATAACATTGAATACAAAATTCACAATATTGTATGTGTGTGTAGTATGTGTATATGTATGTATGTATGTATGTATATATATATATATATATATATATATATATATATATTTGCCAGACTTAAATATATAAAAACATTCACACACAAGTGCATACATACATATAAGCCTGGCTTAACCAATTAGATATCAGAGATAAAGTAATCCATTTTACAATAGTTCTTTTGAAGTTGTGTGTGTGTTTATTTACAATTTTTTTTATTTAATCTCTCTTGGTTGCTCTTATGCTGAAAATAACATCTCTCACGCTGTTAATCCGATTTATCATTGTGGTTTTTCAGAGTCTGGAGAATGTTCAGTACCACAGATAAGACCAGATAAGATAATCAAGTCCAGCTTTAAATGCCGTTTAGGAACACAAAGTGGATTCTAGACCAGAAAACAGGGAAATTGTACCTGGAGCTATTCCAAAACCAGTAAATCCAGTTCACATTAAACAATATGGGAATGTTTGAACACGTTTCACGTGTCCTATTGAGTGCAACGGCTCTACAGCTGCGGGTATGGGTGCTAGGTTTCTTACACCACTGAATTAGATTGAGAAAGCTATTTGGAACTTGCATCGTTATATACAGAACCTCTTCTAATCCACAAAACTTTTAAAGTTGCAAATGTCTACGACTTCTCAAATTTCTAGTCTGCATTCTTGTAATTCTTGAAAACAATATTATAAATGTTTATTTTAAATTTAATGTAACTCATTCTGCATACACTCACACACTCTGCATTTTCGAGTCTGAGCTGTGAGAATGCGTGCATCTGGGTCTACAGACACAAAATAAAACTAAAAAAGGCAAATTTGACATGACTGGTCGGGTCAGATCACAGGGTCTCGTTTAGGCCCAGGATCAGGTTTCGGTTTAATGCCCAAGCATGCACACATAATATTAGAGTATTGCGTTTTCACTTGTTGCAATGATTTAATTGCACATTCATGGAAAGCCTGAGCTATTAATGAACTATTATAAATTCCTGTAGGTGCTAGCGATGCATGATCATGAAAATGCATGAACTAAAAAAATTGTAAAGTGTTGCATCTATCAAGTGCATAAATGTAAATACATTAAATTAAGAATGCAAATTATCATAATTTGCGTTCTTAAATTATTTTACATTCTTTGTAACATTAAATAATTTAGTCTTAAGAATTTAATTATATATATATATATATA